AGAATCAGCCACATCAGCCAAAAAAAGAAGGAACAGGCGTGTGGCAGCGCGTGTACAGCGCGTGAGCGGGCGTGCAGACAGCTGCCAGCTAGGGGTGGCGCGTGGAAGCGCGTGAGATGTGTTTAGGAGAGTGTGACGGCCCGTGCAGATTAGTTTGATGCCCCGGGAGGTTGTGTGGAGTCTGTTGATGTCCCATAATTGATTTCAAGGTTGTTAAGGTGTGACATCAATCAGTAAATGAGGTGTTTAGGTGTTTGAGGGTTGTGGGATGCTACTAGATTATTTAGCTGCATTTAATTGGTGTAATTATAATTAATTAATAAATTGGTTATGGAAGGAAGTATAAATATATATATATATATATATATATATATATATATATATATTTATGAATTTATTAATATGTGATTAGTATGGAAAGAGATATATATATGATTTTAAATAATCAAAGATTATTATGGAAGGTGTTGTATATATCTTCATACTAAATAATATATGTGGATATGTATATTGTTTAAAATAATTAATAGTATTATTTCTTATTTGGTATATCATAGTTGATAGGTAGTATGATTGATTTAATCATTTGGTACATCATGGTTGATGAGTAGTATGATTTATTTAATCATAATAGGCGGGTTATTAAATTGTGATATGCTTATAATTTGTATGAGATATCTATGTATGACTTAGTTATCACTGAGTCTGAAGTTGGTACATGGTTGAATTGTAGGCATGGATGAGTTGTCATATGTATAACTATATATTGTCTAAGTATGTGTATGAATAAATTACATACATAGGAAGCATGGATGAGTTGTTAGTTTAAAAGTATAAAATATATACTTGTGGGGGTATGGTTGAATTGCCAAAGTATAAATATATATATACTTAAGGAGGCATGGTTGAGTTACCAATATATAAATAAATATATTTATAATGGTATGGCTAATTTGCCAAAGCATAAGTTAATGGCTATGGGTATTGGAGGTTTCAACTGCATCTATGGTTATTGTGTGTATCAGTTGGATTAGGATTAGATATTATTAAATTAGAATAGTCTAGTACTTACAGATTAGTGTATTATTTTATACATATTAATAAAATAATACTGGTGGTGACATGGATGATTTGTCAAAGCCTAGATATTGGCGGCGTGATTTAAATACTTAAAATCATTATTGGTTTTGGAATTAAATATAATGTTCTTTTAATTATATTTTATTATTTAAATTATTAAATTGCCACGTAGGATGGAATTAAGGTTAGGGGAGTTTCTTTAAAAAGAAATTGTGGATTGGACTAGAAATGATTATTATTTAATCACTATTAATGGTTTTGGAATTAATGCACCTAACTATAGGAGTTATTGTTATACTGTATATAATTAGTTATATATATATATGTATACCATGATATATTAAGGTTAAAACTTTATTAGGTTTGTTTTTTTATCAAAGATGATCTATTTATTGGTTTTCAGAGGTCTGGTAGATAGAACTTGCTCGTAGGGTTTAACCCACGATTTATTTTTCAGGTTATTAGAGGTTCCAGTCTCGATATTGAGGATCCGCAGCTGGGAGACTGTCATTCATCTAGTCATCTTGTGTACTTTTTAGTAGTATTGGATTATTGAATAGTGTTTTAAGGGGTCCTTGAGTTACGGGATTCCCGAGTTGTAATTGTTGGAGAATCATTAATTAATTTTTATTTATTAGTTTTTCTTCAGTGAATCATATATTCTTTTTAATTCTTTTTGTAATCCGTGCTTATTTAAATACTTTAGTTGTTTTGATATCTCTTAATTTTGTGCGCGGACTTAATCAATCCGTATTTCGAAATCAAGGGGTATTGCAGAAGTTGAAGAACAGAAGTACGTAAAAATGATCACACTTTGAAAGGGTTGGAGCATTCAAGGAGTGTTTTCTAATCTTCTTGCTACTCTTCTACAAAGATCGAGCATAAACTTGAGGTCAAGTTGCTGTTGGACGGGGAGTCACAAAGCTAAAGGATTGTCAGTAATTGGTGTTTGGTAGAACGATAGGGTGTAAACCAGAGTCAAAGTTCAGTATACTTTGTTTCAAGTATAGTGAATCTGTTTACTTTGGATTGCACAGTTCACGAGACTTTTCCCACGTAAATAGTTGACGTATTTTATCAACCGGGGTTTCCTTGCTAAAAATCCTTGTGTCATCTCTAACTTTACTTTGCTTTATTTTATATTGCATGATATTAATTTATTAATTACTAAAATAAAGTAAGTTAGAAAAACACAAGATCTGTTTTTTAAAATAATCAAAACTTTATAAATATTTTGCTGCGTACGACTTACAGATATAAAGGTTCTTCACCAATTATTAACAATAATATAAGACCAGTCATCAATAATAATGCAAGACCTTATCATTAAGGCATCTTAAATACCAGTCGTTTATGTAGCATCAACGATCTTGTGCGTTGATCCATCTCTCTATCGCCTTTATATAAGGAGCCACTCAGTTAGAGAAGAGATCATCGAGTATCCAGCCATCTAGTTTTCCAGACTTTAGCAATCATTGAGCCTTAGAATTCTAGTGTGTTTCGAGTTTCTTTTGTGATCTTTTTATTTGTAAAATATTGTGTGCGAGTGAACCCATGTATAAACAGTGTGTATCCATTTATATAGCTTTTGTAATAAAAATTATCCAGGTTGCTTTTACTTCAAATTTCCTTTCTTTTCCTTAGTATTTTTATTCTTTTCGGGCAAAAGACTTTGGTTGACTCAAAGATCATTATATTCCTTTAGCCAAATAGTATAGATCCTAGAAATTTCTTGATTCCAACCAATACAAGCAGTCTTAGGATAAATTGGCAATTTATTTTGTGATTTGATTCGAACTGTTGGCTCGATCAGTTTTACCGTTGTCTTCGCATTTGTTGCAGAGCAGCGTTATCATGTTCGGTCTCTACGTTATTCTATTACTTCTAGCTTGGTACGGTTTTAATTTGTTTTTGGTATTAGAGCCTATACTGTTTTGTTAAAGAAAATTTATATATTAGAACTTTTTGTTAAAAGAAGTCTATAAGTATATAACATATTATTGTATTATTCTAGTAAGAAAGGTTTAAAGTACGGGTCTTTTCATAATAAACTTAAATTATAAGTATAAAATATAATTAACTAAAGTTTAAAGGGTATTTAAGAAAATAGGAAGTCTTACATCAGCTTGCCACGCAGTATTTTATTCCACCTGGGCACACAGGAGTCGGTAGGAGTCAAAGTCGGGCTGTGTAGCATCACCCGTCTTAAAATAGTGTGAAGAGGAAGAAAATTGGACTTTAGGCCCAAGAATAAGAGGGCCCACCAAAGGAGTCAACGACAGTCGACTCCTAAAATATTTTCGCTGTAATTGTACATTTGCAATAGCAAAAATATGTGGAACCTACCTTTGTTTTCTTTCAAATGTTGTCCTTTTAAAAATATATATATAGATGCTATATTGTGCAAAATATAGCTAACGTTGCCATGTATATACGTTTTCACCCCCTTTTTTTTTAATTTTGGAATCGATCATTATTTATTATGGTTATAATTTTAGAATCGATCATTGTATTTACGGTTATTATTTCAAAAATTAATGACTCTTTGGATTGGATATATTGTACAATATATTATCATATACAAACTCCAAACATGTTTACAAATCTTAATTTTTCATTTACATTTCAAAAAAAAAAAAACCAAGTGCCTCATTGTGAAACATGCATGTTAAGAAGGTGTGAAGAGGAAGAGGATTAGCCGTTTGGACCAAGGAAAGGGTTATTAAAGCCCACCCAAAACAAAAGGGGGCATCCCTGCCAACCCATCAAGGACAAGATGGCCCACCAAAGGATCCAGCAACAGTAAAAAATAATAATAATAATTAAGGGATTGTGACAAGAAAACCATAAAAAAAGTGATAAACCCCTCCCCAAGCAAAGCCATTACATCTTTTGAAGCGGCCTTTGAATCTATGATATAGGGCCTCTTCTACCTGGCGTGTGAGGGATGCTCTTTTCCCCTTTTCTCTTATTGTTCTTTTGTTTCTTAGCTTCCTGTCCCTGTTGCTTTATAAAAAATAAAAAAAAAATCTATAATCATACATATTTAAATTAGTTTAAATGATTGGGCCGTAAAAACCTATTTTTGTTCTATCGGGATTCATATAGAAACATAATCATATTAGTTAACTAAATTTGTTGTATAATGTTTCAGTACAAAAGAAAAAAGAATGAAGAAATGTTTGCAAGATTGTGAAAAAATATGGTATTTATATTACATTTCAATAAATAAATAAAAAATATTGTATCTATATCATACCAGCTAATCTATAATCTTCGTGCCACAATTTATTATGTGGAAACGACTTTATCATGCAAAACAAAACAAACGTTACTAACTGTGTTTTCACCATTTGTTTTGGTTTTCACCAATATTTTGTTGCAAAAACATAAATGTTTGCCAAACAAACCTTATTATCTCAAACCATATAGTATAAGATGTTATATGAAAATTACATGTAAACTACATGTGATCACTCATATGCATTTCCACTTTAATACAATTTCATTATCCATCTTATCACGAGACATGAAAGAGAATTAAAGAAAAAATGGGAGACGTCTAATCACCAAAACTTTTGGAGTAATGTTTGATAAACCATTTAACTATCAAATCAATCTAAAACATATTAAGTAATTATTCTACAAAGCTCATCATTTAAACATCGCTTAGATAAGTATATATTGAAGTAATTTTCAATTTACAATCATAACTTAAACTTAAGCTCTTGAAAAATTAAAATTTTTAGTACTAATTTTTGTACTTAGGACTCATCATCATGGTCATCACACATTATCATCACCATCACAAAGGCGATCTTCGGCAATGACATGAGAAACAATCGTGTATGTTAAGATAGGCGACAAATTAAGATATAAGAATTTAGCAAAAAGAAAAAGATATGGAAACAAAGGGGGCTAGGAAAATGATTCTCTTTATCAGATGATAGATTTCTCTTATTTTGTTTAAAATTCAGAAGTTTATATATTCACAGCTTCGAGTTTCACTAATTGTATGTATTTCTCTTCAAATTGTTGCTTTAGCTTTCTTCACAATTAAAATAACTCAGTTTTGGTACGTACGTTCTCATGTGCACTCGATCATCTTTTGACGAGACTTAGAAATGTTTGTTAATATTTTAATAATGTTGCTAGAATTCAATTAATATATATAATGAGTGTTAACATTGCATAATTGCATATACCCATCATTTTGGTGACAGTATAGATATGAAATATGATTACATCTCGAGGTTTCTCTCTTGTGCCACTCTAATGTATTTTCTTTCTTATTTCTCTTGTTCTTGTTTTTTTTTTTTTTTTTTTATTTTATTTTATTTTATATTACATAGCTCACCATGAAAAATTTATTAATTACTAATAATCTATCATACTAGCTGATATCATCAAGGAATTAATATAGATTATAAATTAATTTTTATCTACATGCCTAAATATATATGTCTCATGCATGCACTCTCTTACTATATAGGGATGGACAAGCAGAGGTTGATGAAGGAGGCAGCTCAAGCGGCACAAGCAGGAGACGTCAATGTGCTGTATGCATTGTTTCGAATCAATCCATATGTATTGAAGAGCATTGATGAGATTCGATTTGTTGATACACCTCTACACATAGCTGCATCGAATGGTCATATACATTTTGCAGTAGAAATGATCAGCTTAATGCCATCATTTGGTAAGAAGCTAAATCCAGATGGCTTAAGCCCCTTGCACTTGGCTCTGCAAAATCGGCGTACCGAGACTGTGATGAGGCTCATAAATATTAACAGCGAGATCATCCGTGTCCAAGGGAAGGGGGGAATTACTCCTTTGCATTATGTAGCTGAAAGAAATGAAGTCGGTCTTTTGGCTGAATTTCTATGCGCTTGTCCAGATTCTATGCAAGATTTGACAATTCGAGGTGAGACTGCTGTGCATATTGCCGTGAGAAACCGCAATTGCAAAGCTTTTGAAGTCCTTTTTAATTGGATTGATAAGACCAATAATCTACCTTTGCTACAATGGAAGGACGAGGATGGCAACACAGTGTTGCACATTGCCACGTACACCAACCAACCTCAGGCATGCTTCCTAGATCTTTTAATTTTGCTTAATTAACTTCAATATTGTTATTTCTTTAATTAATTGATTATTAAAATGCAATTTAATTTTGGTTTATATATATATTTGATGATCAGGTTGTGAAGAAGTTGGTTAAAGCTGTGGAGCTAAAAGGTGATAAGAATATGCAGGGTTTGGCAGCTTTTGATTTAATTAGTAGTGACGAATCAAACAGTGAGATCAAAAATATGTTAGCTGCTTCAAGATCATTTACTCGTTTTTGGAAACCTAATTCAGCTAGTGATAATTATCTGGCAGACTTTATAAGGAACAGACGAGTCCCTAATATCGTTAATATGAGAAAGATGTCAATTGATTCGAAATTGCGCGAAACGGTACTACTGATAGCTGCTCTTGTTGCAACAGCCACCTACCAAGTTGCAGTCGCCCCCCCTGAGGGAATTTTCCAGCTAGACGAAAACGGAAAGAGCATGACGGCACTAGCTGTGCCTGAAATTTTCTACTATTGTCTTCTGTTTATTAACTCAACATCCTTTGCAATCTCGGTTGGAGTAATTTTTCTTAGCCTCCAAATTGGCATTCATTATCAGCTACTGCGACTATGCTTATATTTCATCATGGTCAGCTATATAATTTCAGTGCTTTTCACAGCACCGAAAAATGTTTTCTCCTACATGGCAGTCTCTGCACCATTCCTTTTATATTTATGGAGTGCATTTGTTTACCTCAAAGAAATATTCGTCTTCACCAGGATGCCCATTGGCAGGTATAACGCTTCTCGCTACTTTGATATGCGAAAGAAAATGGTTGGTTGGGATGCAATTCACTGATCTGATCCACCCAAATTAGGCGCATGTAATAAAATCTTGTGTGTTATTAATTGTTGTAAATTTCCCTTTTTACTTGCTGAGTGTGGTGATAATGTTTTTATTTTTTATTTTTTATTTTATTTATTTATTTATTTTTTTTCTGTCTGGTGAAGAACTCCTACAATGCTTTAGGGAGACTACAAACCTATTCCCTTCACTTTGCAAGGAGAAAGAGATGCCAGGCCTTGGTGGTGTGTTCATGTTATTGATAAAATATTTGCAAATTAATAAACAATTTGATAGTGTGTTTGATATATTTTACAACCTGTTTGGATATATACTTCTATTTTCTCTCTTGAACTAGTTGTTACAAAATTGAAGACGCAATAGAAAAACATATTAGACATGCAGATTTTTACTGGTTAATCCAAAATTAGGGCTACGTCTAAAGCAAAAATTTCACTATGATGATAAGAAAAGGGCTACAAGGTACAAGAGTGCAGAATAAATAAACTATCATTACACTAGGGCAACATATCAAGTATGAAAATTATCAAAATATCTTGTATAGTATTTATTAGATTCCACACTACCCATCAATCTTGGAGACTGATAACATCAAACCGTCAACTCCCCATACTCTATACATAGCATCAACTCACTCCTCTGTCCTCAAGCTTAAACACTAACTGAAGCTAAACATAGCTTCAGTTTCGTAGTGATGTCTATTGAATTTTGACTTTTATGGATGTTCTCAAGTGACAGATGTCTATTATTCAAAAGCAGTGTATGAAATGGTACCTCAAACGAATATGTTTCGTCTTTAAATGAAATACTAAATTCTTAGTTAGGTGAATAGCACTCTGACTATCACTATACATACAGAATATTATTCTTTTACTTCTTACCTAATTCTTCCAAGAAACCCTGCAACCAAATCATCTCTATACTAGCTTTTGTAATTGTGACATATTCAGCTTCTATTGTCGAAAGAGCCACAATATTTTGCTACTGAGTGACCTAACTCATTGCTGTACCACCCAAAGTACGCAGATACCCAGTACTATTTTTCCAATTATCCATATCACTAGCCAAGTCTGAATCAACATAACACTGCAATGCAATACCCGTCCGAGTAAAACATAGTGTTGTTTATGTGGTACCTTTCAATAAGGATCCATTTAACCGCTTCCAATAATACTTACTAGGATTACTCATGTGCATGTTCATAACTCCCACTACATATGTTATGTCAGTTCTGGTACAAACCATGGCATATATTAGGCTGCCAATTATTATAACTCTTCCATATGCTTACTCTTCCTCTGTCTTGGGCAACTGCACCTTAGTCTGAAGTGACTAGCTAGTGCATGGGGTATTCACTTGTTTTGCATCCTGCTTGTTAAGCCTGCTAAAAACCTTTTTAACATACTCTGCTTGTGACTACTTCAGAGTATCACCCATTCTGTCTCTGCAAATTCTCATACCAAGAATCTGTTTTACTTCACTTAAATCTTTTATTGCAAGATACTCAGAAAACTATTAATTTCTTCAGATTGTTAATCTCCTTGAGACTTGACCTAGCAACCAAATCCTCAACATACAATAGTAAGAAAATATAGTTGTTGTCAAACTTCTTAATATAACAACAATGATCTACTTGGTATCTCGTGGAACCATTACTGCACATGAATCTATCAAATTTCTTGTATCATTGTCTCGGGGCTTATTTTAAACAATACAAGCTCTTTTTCAGCTTGCATACTAAACCCTTCTTTTCTGGCACTGTGAATCCTTGTGGTTGCCTCATGTAGAAATTTTTCTCAAAATCACCATGAAGAAAGCCAGTCTTCACATCTAACTGCTCAAGATGCAAATTTTCTATAGTCATAATTCCAAGCACCAATTTGATTATAGTCAACTTTACAACCAGGGAGAAAATCTCAGTGTAGTCAACACCATAGTTTTGCTAAAATCCCTTCACAACCAATTAATCTAGCTTTGTAATGCTTGCCACCATCATGTTCTTCTTTGATTCTATAAACCCACTCGTTATGTAAAACCTTCTTGTCATTTGGTAGCTAAGTTAGTTCCCATGTCTAATTTGACATTAGTGAGTCCATCTCATCCAGTATAGCTAAATCCCACTTGGTTGAGTTGACAACCTGCACTGCTTCATCATAACTCTCTGATTCACCACCATCAAATAACAACAAATAGTGATTCAGAGATGATATTGCAAACCCAATTTTTAGATTTCTTAATACAACAAACCACTTTTCTCCCCTTTTATTCTGCACAATACCTGCCCTACATAAGATACTTACCAAAACAAAATATGAGAATTAAAATGTAAAAAAAAAAAAAAACTCAGAGAAACATGGGAAGTTCACATAACTTCTTGGTCACACTCCTATGCACAATAGATAGACCCGTAAATGGATCAAATTCGGATCGGATTAGGCCTGATTTGATCCGAATCCGATAAGCATTTTAGTCAATCCGATCCAATAATCCGACGGATATTTTGTAAGTTAATCCGAATCTGATTTGCTAATAAATGGATATTCGATCCAATAATCTGATCCGATCCGATAAAAATTTAGGTTTTTTATTTAAAAAAGAAATATATATATACAAATTAATGTCAAACGAGAATTAAAAAACAATGATTATAATAAAAAGATATAAAACAAACGATAAGTAAAATAGTAAAGCAGTGATAGGGAATGCGAAATATAAAACATGAAAAGTGAATCTAATGTGGCTGGTCATATCTGTGATTACTCGAATTTTTTAGATTTTAATTTATAATTTTATTTTTGAATTTGTTTCAGTGGAGGTGTGGTTGTAGTTATTTTTTTATATAGTTTGTGTGTGTGTGTGTGTGTGTGTGAGAGAGAGAGAGAGAGATCAGATAGAAAAGGGAGAAGGTGCCAAAAATGAAATAATAAAGGGAAGAGAATGGTAATGATGTTTGGTGGAGTTCACAAAGATTTTTTTGTTTTGCCAAAAAGTCTTTGAGTCACGTGGTTTGGTCTGATGGAGTAAAATGTGGATTGAAAAGTTGATTTGGTGGGTTGCAGGTCCTACTTAAGAAAGATATTTAATTGTTTTTGTTGCAATTATATATATATATATATATGTTATATGTATAGTTGTAGCATCAGATGAAGGAAATGGACAATGGTTGCCGAAGTGACGAAAGAGAAAGGAAAACTAAAATTTTGATGATTTGCGGGCCCACTGAGTGACTTTTTAAGCAAAATTGCTTTGTGCTTTGGTTTTGTGCACGTGAGCTTGTCTGAAGTTAGTATTTGAAATGATGTTGATGGAGGCGTATGGTGTCCACTAATATGGAGTCGGTGGAAAAAGCTTTTAAATAGCACTTGTCTTATGACTTTGGAAGCAAACAGAAAAGAGAAATTGAGAGAGAGACAGACAGACAGAGAGTTTCAGGAGAGACAGTGAGCCGAGTGCTCACACAGAGAGTTTGAGGACAGAGAGGGAGCCGAGAGTTGCAGAGGAGACTGGAGGCTTGAGGAGTTGATGATCCAGTTAGGACAATTTCTTTTCAGTGTAGGGTTCTCTATACCTTGAATGGCATTGGGTGATTTTGCTCCAAATGGTTTTATTAAATGTTTTGATTAAATGCATATTTATTTTGTTTATATATAAATGTGTATATTTTGTGAAGCTGTTTTATTAAACCTCCATGAAATTCTTGTTATGGTTTTTCCTACTGGGACTTTTTGTCTCACCACCCTCCAATTTCATGTCAGGTGGGAATTGAGGTAATGAAAATCTTGAAGAGAGGGATAATCATTCCCCCCAAAATAAGACTGAAGTGGAACAAAGCCAGGTGGGAACCCGACATAAAAAGGTGGTTCACCCATCTCTCCTACGGAGTTCCCGACCTCCTGAGAGCATAGCCTTCTGTCTTAAGGAAAAGACAAAGAAAGTTACCCATCTCGACTTGCAGATCAAGGATCTCAAGGGGAAAATGGAAGATGTAATGCAGGCTATGAAAGGGAAAGGTCCTACCGCCGTAGATGACCTGGTACAAAGGACCAACTTGCCTTTCAGCCCCGCCGTTATGAAATGTCCACTACCTAGCAAGTTCAGGATGCCCTCGTTCGAAAGCTTCGATGGGACCAAAGATCCCCTCGATTACCTGGAAACTTTTCAAGCTCTTATGCATTTACACGCTGTGCCAGATGAAATCATGTGCCGAGCCTTTCCCACTACACTTATGGGATCAGCGAGAGTTTGGTTCAACAAGTTGAAGCCAAGAACCATCAACACCTTCGAAGAATTGAGTTAGCAGTTTGTGAGCCACTTCATTACAAGTCAGAGGCATAGGAGGCCGGCTACTTACCTGTTTACCGTGGAGCAACAAAAGGAAGAGTCGATTCGGGAATACATCACCCGATTCAACGCAGAGATGTTGCAGGTAGAAGAGGCGGACGACAAGGTAGCTTTGACCGCTTTCATAGGAGGACTCCAAACCTCCAGATTTTTGTTCTCCTTATCAAAAGAACCTCCCACCAGCATGATAGAGTTGTTGGTCAGAGTGCAAAAACACATCAACGCTGAAGACACCATGAGTGCACGAAAGGAAGGAGAGGACAAGAAGAGGCCAGCCCCTCTCGCTAGGGATGAAAATAATACCAAATATAAGAAATCGTTCTTCAGCCAGAGTGACAGCACATATCATAAGAATGACTCAGATGAGTATACCGACTAGAAATTGTCTTGCGGCTGGAATTAGCCTTATTAAGTCATTCACAATAAAGACTGGGGGCATCTTAGTTAATAATTTTAAATGGAGGGTAGCTCCATCACGTGTTATTTTGTTTTTAATAATGATGGTCTTTAATATAATTCCTTTTAGTTTATACGTGCAGTATCCCCGTACTATAAGGGATAGTAAATGAGTGTCCTGTATTACAAGGACCCGGGCTGAATGAATCCCGTAATCCGTATCTCTGTACTATAAGGGAATAGTAAATGAGTGTCCTGTATTACAAGGACCCGGGCTGAATGAATCCCGTCATCCATATCCCCTTTACTATAAGGGAATAGTAAATGAGTGTCCTGTATTACAAGGACCCGGCCTGAATGAATCCCGTCATCTATATCCCTGGACTGTAGGGGATAAGTATCCTGTATTATCAGGACCCGGGTTGAATGAATCCCGTAATCCATATCCCTGTAATATAAGGGATAATAAATGAATGTCATGTACTACAATGACCTGGGTTGGATGAATCCCATAATTAATATCCCCTTACAATAAGGGATAGTAAATAAAAA